AAAGCTGTAATACTCTTTCAGCATTGGTAATGGACGAGGTTTGCAGTAAGTTTTTTCACAGATATTTCAACGTGGCTCTTATTCTATGTCCAAGGTTATATTCCAAAGTGTCAAGATTGAAAGTCAATGACTCCATCCAGAATTACAGAATCACCAAGGTTGGAAAAGACCTTCAAGATTATCCAGTACAACCATCCACCTATCACCAGTAGTTCTCACTAAACCAGGTCCCTCAACACAAAATCCAAACGTTCCTTGAACACCTCCATGGTCGGTGACTCCCCCACTTCCCTGGGCAGCCCATTCCAGTGCTTGACCACTCTTTCAGAAAAGTCTCCCCTGGTGCAGCTTGAAGCCATTCCCTCTCGTTCTATCACCAGTTACATGAGAACTGCCTAGCTTTGTAACTATATATACCAATAGTCAGGACTATTTAGAAATAATGGTACCAGACACTGTACTTGTATAAACACTTCATAAACACTAAAGCTGTAAAAAAAACCTAAATAAACAAACAAAAAAGAAACTCCATTCATTCCCCTTTGCTACTAAATGACTCTGGGTTGTTTCATCCCCAAGAGCTGTATTTGCAAAACCAATGCAGACAAAGAACAGGCACCAGCAACATCTGCATGCTTGTCAGCTCTGGTTGTTTTCATAGAGAGACAACAATGCACAAAGAAGCCTGGGCACAGGAAGCATCAAACTTAGAATCCTCCACATCAAAGCACAGAAGCAAAACCAACAAGATTGGGAACGATGGTAAGGAGCAGCTCCACAACACACTGTTTGCAAAGTGCCTATGTGGAGGGGACAAAGAGCAAGGCAATAGCACAGCACTACATGCAATGCAGAAACGCAAAGAGAAAAGGGAAGATACGGAGGCGTAGAAGCACAGGGTGCAGTGAAAACAACTTCAGTGTTTAAACCCGATTAAATTCAGCCTCAGAAATCTTAAGTGAATAAACGTGGCTGATACTGAGACCCCATCGGTACTGTTAGCTTGAAGTGATGCTACACACACACCAGAAGCAGTCCCTCACTAACGGACCAGGGACTCAATGTAAAATGCATTAGAAGTAATATCTGCGCTGGGGGAGGCAGAGGAGCAGAGCTGTTCTAGAAACAGCCCAGCACCTACGGTTGGCAGGTTTGCAGGGAAAGCAAATCCACGAAGTGCCCGCTCCCAAAGGCTCCCGTCCCGCCCTAAAGCCACTGCCTAGCACTGGGACAGCGCCCTTTCCTCCGGCCGCTCAGCTCTGAAGGCAGCGCTTCCCCATTCCGGCACCCTCCAAGGGCTGGCATGGGATGCGCTGCGCTCGCCCCGCTCTGGGGCCTACGGGCCCCGCGGGAGGATGGCACCCAGAGGGTGGCGAGCACGGGGCGATCTCTTTTTCCCTCTCCACCGCCTCCCCTTCTGCTCGCCGGCTCCGCTCCTGGGAGGGGCGGGAGGGAAGGGAACGGGCGGGCGCGCAGCGGCATCCAACTCACCAGCTGCTCGGCGGCGCCCCGTCCCCTTCCGCCATAGCTGTTGACGTGCCGCCCTGCTCAGCCGTAAAGCACGGCCGGGGAGTCGGTATGTTGTTGTTTCTTTGCGACACCTTTCGGCCCGCCCCTCCACGGTGCTGTCGCAAAGTGAGGGCGTCGGCCGCAAAGTGCGGAAGCCGGGCAGAGAGGAAGGCGGGCGCGCGTGGCGCTGGCAGCATGGGGGACGCGCTGGACGAGCCGTGGTGGGAGGCGGCGGCGGGGGAAGGCAGCGGCCCAGGTACGCCGCGCTCGGAGCGGGCTCTGAGCCCTCCTTCCTCTGTCCGCTGGCTTTCCCAGCCCCGTTTGCCCCCTGCCACTCTCAGCTTTTCACGTCCCGCTCCACGTTTTCCTCTTTCTTTCTCCACCCGCCAGAAATACGCTTTACGAGAGTTTAAAAGCAGAGGGGAGGGAGGGGGAGAAGGCAACGCGCCCTGAGGGCGGCTGTCCCTGAGGATACTTAGCCTGTAAACTGCTGTGTTCAGAACCGGGCTTAGCTGGTCATAGAATCGTAGAGCATCTCGAGCTGGGAGGGACTCACAAGGATCACCGAGTCCACCTCGTGGCTCTGCGAAGTAGCAGCCAAAATCCAAGCGCTGTGTCACAGTGCCATGTACGAAAGCTCCTTGAATTCCCGCAGCTCGGGGACTTGATGAAAGGATGTTGCTTGATGTGGGCTGATGACCGTTATCGTGAGCGCATGTATGGTTCTATAAGGCCTTGGGAATCCTAAACCCAAAGAAGAGCCTTTGGAGGGAAAAGTACCCATGGTACAAGAGTGCATCACCCGTGTGCTCAGCGGGTGGACTCACCGCCCTGGTGATGTGCTGTGAAAGGACAGGAGCTGAATGGCTTCTTCTCCCCAGCCACTGCTCTTTGAGCGGGTAATTTGTCTCTCTTTCCAGTGATGATGATATCTGGCTCTTATACCCGGTGTCTTATCGTAGAATCACACAATATTTTGGGTTGGAAAGGACCTTAATCACTAGTTCCAACCTGTACCGTGGGTAGGGCTGGCACCCACCAGCTCAGGCTGCCCAGGGCCTCATCCAGGCTCACTCTGAGGGCCTCCAGGGTTGGGGCATCACAGCTTCGCTGGGCAGCCTATGCCAGACAATTTCCTTTAAAAAGGCACTTGGAGAATATTTGAGATGAATTGTACATATATATTGTAAGGAGGGGGGGATCACAAGCCTTAATGAGGCTGCTGAACATTTCATTTTAATTCTCAGTCTCATCTGTGTTCTGCAAGCACTTCGTATTCCCATGAAAAGTGCTCTTCATAAGGTATTTAGGATTCCTCAAGCCTCTGTGCTCACCCTGCCAACTAGAGGTTACCTATACGGTGGCTGATAAGCTTTGACAGCTTTCTTTTAGAAACTGAGTATGTTTCAGGAAAATATTTATTCGCTTTGATGATAAACCTTTGGCATGATGTATAAATCATCTGACTTTGAGCTGAGAACCCCAGCTCTCAGTTACACACAACTCTTCCTGATTTTTGCAATTGTAAGGTTGCTAAGGTGTCTAATCCAGCCCTGTGCTAAAAGCACTACGTGTAGTGAACTCCAAAAATACTTGTATGGGAACTGCTGAGTCGCAACCTGAGCCTCTGATTGATCACCTGAGGCGGGCAGTGAGTCAGCCAGAGGAGCACAGGTGAAGGCAATTCTCCTGTGCTGCCGGAAGGGGTGGAGGCTGGCTCCACCTTTCCTAGACCTATTTAAGAGCTGGCCACGAGTGGGGAAGGATCTCTTCTGGAGGTTGCCTCTACTGGTGTTTTGTGAGTGAGCCCAGGATAGGGGTAAGCCTTCTATTTATTCTCTTTTGTTATCTTAGTCTGCTTTGCTTAACTCTTTTGTTTATTTTGTGATTATAACATCCTAATATTCTTTGATTATACAATACTATATGAATGTTTTACTACTTACGTTACAGGTGAATGTTGTACACACCATATATGCGTTCTGATCCCCAGATCCCACCTTTGCAAACTTGTTGGCAGGTTCTTTATGTGGAGCCTGCTGTTGTATGATGTTGACGCAAGCCATCAGTTAAGTAGGTAGAAGGTCCATATATTTTTTTAATTTGTGTTGCTGCTCCTCATGTACAGCAGATGTAACATCAATTGTTAACTTGTACCATGTCTTGTGGACACTATAAAGTGCTTTAAGATCAAGTGGCAAGAAATAGGAGGTCAAGGGTTTACAATGTACACTGTAAGCAGAAATACAAGACTATAATTTCCCACTATAGCTTTTGACAGATTTGCTCATGTTTATTTCTGTGAAATACATAGTTTGTTTAAAAAACCATCTGACTTTAATTGCTGATGTATTTTAAAAAGCATCTCTGCCATAATGATGGGTAGAAAGCAGGAAAAAAAAATATATTCTTTAAATACCTACCTTGTGCCAAGTCCCTTACATCTAGCCCTAGAATAAAAACTGGCCAATGAAGTATTCATCCTAATATCTCAGCCCTCATAAGTGTCTTCCATTTTAGCAACTTGTACTCAGAAGACACTACTTCTAAGAAGTAGCGTATAAGAAGTGTTTAGACCCGCTAGAAGGGGATGCAAGTACAGAACACATATCCTAATAGATAAATGTATGAGTAATTCCTAATCTGATTTTAACCACATCATTAGAAACCATTAGTTTAGAGTCTGTATTAAAAATTGAAGGTATTTACTCTCACTTTTGGGACATTAAAGGATTAGCTATCTATTTACCTTGCCACAAGACAAAAACTAAAACATCTTGCTCAGTAACTTCTTCAGCATACTTTTTACTGTCAGAGATGTGAAGAGGGTGGCCAGAGATTTTTGGCTATTTATTAGTTTTGCTTAGTGTTACATGCGTCCCAAGTCATATAACTTCAGGCCTTCCTTCCTTCCGTTTTACCAGTTCATGCCACAGCTATGTGCAATACTGAATACCATTTTTGTGTTGTACTCAGAACTAGAAGGAGAGATTAAGGAATACTGAGGAGTTTGTTTAGCACTGGTGTAAGACATCAGCTGTTTCCTTTTTCTCTCCATGAACAGGAAGAGCACTTCTGACAGCATTGCAATGTCTCTCTTGCCTGTTATGGGTGTGCTGCATCTTTGGGCAGGTTGAGGGAGGGGGGGACAGGCTTTTGTTTTCCAGAAATTCTTCCAGTTACCTCTTTTTCTGTTACCACTCCTTGTCTTTCATTCTCTGTGCTTTCCTTGTCTTCCTTTATCCGTAAGACTGTAGTATCTGTCCTTGTCAGTTCTTTTACATCCTTAAAGAAAAAGCTGTGTGGATCATGTCCCTTATAAGTTGAAATAAATTGTGTCATCCCAAGTTAGAGCAAAAGGCAGGGAAACTCTTTTACACCAGCAATAAAAACAGGTATGAAGTATAATACTGTACTGTAGATGATGATCTGACAGTACTTGTGGGGCCGTTCGTATGCTGTAAAGCAAAGGATGTTGTTGTGGGAATTCATTTTTTTTTGCCCATACGTTTTTATTTTCTGTTTGTAAGCTGGTAATAAGGGGTGCCAAATGGCATCAGTTTGTTATGTGGGCTTTGCAACTAGTGAGAAGTGGACTGTTCACTGTAGCTCAATTATTAAGAGTTTTGTTGCATTATCAGAGCTGGGATCTGTTGGCGAGCTGACCTGTGTATGGAGAGTTTTCTCTCTTTCCTTTGGCTCATCCATCAGTTGCTGTCCCTTCTGATGAAAGCTGTTTTTGTGCTGATGCTCCTTTTCACATCTGTCTGATGAGCATGCCAGGCTGACAGCTGCTTTTTGGAAATCATTTTGCTTCTTTGCGTTGTGCACACTTGTTCCGCGTCTTGCAGAACATATCACGGGGTGCTTCTATGAGCTTTATTTGGACCTGAGCACGTGTCACTTGTAGCTTCAGAACTTTACTGTTAGCTGTAGATTTAGTGAATTAAATTGGAGTGCTTCTCTTTCTAATGTAGAAGAGTCTTTTCTCGGTTTCTTCTTTGCCAAAATGTGTCTTGTAAGGCACATGCTGAAGTAAGGTTTCGGTGGGCTGATCTTTTGAAACCTTCACTTTTTAACTACCCATTGAGATGTTCTTGTGAGGCTGTTGAGGGAGGCATAGATTTCTGTTGTGGGTTTGCAAAAATAGTCCCGCAGGAGTGCTAATGTGTTGTACTGGCTCAGTGGCTAAGTTAAACTTTTAGCTGTGAAATAAAAGGGAAACAAATTGGGTAACCGAACGCATCAAAATCTGTCTTTGCTTCAGCAAAACGGTCCCAATTCTGGCTGTGATGTTGCGATCACCACTAGCTTTTGCTTTATTTAGGAATTAAGATTTGGCAGTTCTTAAAGAAAGACCTATGTGAAAGGAGCTTTCCCACAAATTATCAGTTGAGCCATTTAGACTGTTGGAATGCACTCTGTTAGGGGAAGAAGAATGAGGGAGACATTAATACCAGGGAAATAAATTAAGTTTTATATTCTACAACAGTAACTCGGGTTAGTTGGCATTATGGATTTCCTGTGGGAGAGTTACTTGCAGTAATAGTATCTTGTTAGTTTTAACTTTCTACAATAAAACAGTCAGGAATTTTGTTATTAGAGCAGCAATTGCTATTTTGCAGACAACTAAAAACAAAGAGCAGATGTGGAGCCTCTTCTAGCGTTTGATTTGTTTTGTTTACCTCTCCTGGAAGTAAATTTGATTAAATTGTAAGTCTTTTATAGAGGGTATACATTAAGAAAACAAACAAACAAAAAAAAAAAGGCAAATTCTTTCATGGGTGAGCAAGATCTACTTGTGCAAATAATTAATTTGATTAAAAAAAAAACTTCACTAGAAGATATGACTGCAGCTGTCCATTTTCCATGATAGTGGGCAATTGAAAGGGAGGGGCAGAATTGCAGAGGACCGAAATAACACAGTTGCACTTCTTTAAACTCATAAGTATTGTTACACTTGACACAAATTTTGATCAGTTCCAATAAATACTGTTTAAGTGAACTCAAAACTAAATACTGTAGTCTAAATAAAAGGATGACAGTTAAAATAACTAATACAAGTAATGTCAATCTCAATTTTGCAACTGTTTTCTAAAGGTAACATCTGCATGCATGCAAGTGGGGTGAATCAACTCGCTGAGGAGAGAATTGTTCATCTGCAGGTTATGCTTCCTAAGTGATGTTTTACACAACAACTTTTTGAAGCTCTAAGCATTATGAAAGTCAATTTTTTTCTATCCCTCTCATCATTTTGTCTTTTGCTAGTTAAGGTAAAACACCCAGATTGAAACACTTCTTTCGTAGACTGACTGAAAATGAAACATTCCCTTGTTCAGCCCTGTTTCATGTAGTTCACTGCACACGTCTGTAGAGACAACATTGGTGTTGCTGTTTATGGAATGTGTCAAAACTGATTTGTATCTCAATTGTTTCTCCACTGCAAAGGACAAATTCTGGAATTATGCCAGAAAAATGAGAGCAGACCTTGGTCCTTACAGACATGCAGTTACCTGTGTCTCTTAAAAATCTGGCTGTCTCTTGGTCTCCTATAATTGGTGGCCGTTAACCTACTGACCATGCGGAAGGTTTCAGACTTCTCCCCAGTGCAAATAACTGCTGTTGAGGTTCAGATTGCTTAAACCCATGTCATAGATTGTAGAAGATGATTTACCTTCTCCCTCCACTGTGAAGGCAGGCTTTAGACACAGTCCTTATAATATGTAGCTTTCCAGAACTGCTGTCTTGAAGTGGCTTGTTGTGATGTCCAGCAGGAATTCTGACAGGTAGTTTAGTTGCATTTGTTGGCTTTGGTTTGGGGATCCGAGTTGGAACTGATTGACGGAACGCATCAGTAATCTTGAAACAAACAAACAAAAGGTCATGTTAGGAGGAGAGGTTGGTTGTATGTTTAGCACTTCACTGTTCTTTTCCACTCCGTATAATTAAACATGTTGCTCTCACTTAGAACTGTCTGCCCAAACTTCCTTACCCTCATTGGTAATGAGAGTGTAACACTGCATATAACTCACCTGCTTGTTTGGTAAATACCAAAGAATCCAAATGGTTGGAAGTTCTCTGCCTATTAATAGTTTTTCTGTCAGGCCTCTGACTAGGACAGCAGCCCTTTGGGCTAAGTGATGGCATGGCATTCAAAGGCTGTGAACTCTGACTTCTCTGGGTGAGTAATCAGAGAATTTCTATGTGCAGAAGCAGGACATGATTGAGTCCTGAGTAGCAGAAAAGACTTAGCTTGTATGTGAGAAACCCATTCTTTGAGAGTGACTGCAGTGTACACAAAGTGAATGTATTTGTAGGAGGGAACTCTCCATCCAGAATCAATTATACATGGAATAAATATTTTTGGAGTGTATCGTTTTAAGAGCCTACGACTTGGCTGCAGATAACTGTATATGATACAAGTTCTCAAAAGGATAAAGCAGTAGTGGAAAAGCCAACATTAAATTTTTGCATGTATTTTTTCAGTATGGAGGAACTTGGGAGAAGTTTGCACTTTGTACATTTGCTTAATGGATCATAAATCAGGGAAAAAAGATTCATGGAACCATTAAGGCTGGAAAAGATCTTTAAGATCGTCTAGTCCAACCATCAAACCACCCCCACCATGCCCACTAACCACATCCCTCAGTGCCACATCTACTCAGTTATTGAACGCCTCCAGGGACGGTGACTCCACCACCTCCCTGGGCAGCATGCACCAATGTCTCATCACTCTTTCTAAGATTTTTCCTAGCATCCAACCTGATATCCAACCCCAGTAGGGAACTGGAATTCTGAGGTCTGAACCAGTCAGAAATTGTTTGAACTGGCTCAGAATTGGGTATAAAAGGATGCAGAGGAAGATAGCAAGGATGATTAGTTATGTAATGCTTTCTGTGTAAAGAGTGGTAACATATACTGAAACTTATGTTTAGAAAATAGGCTGTAGAGAGAAAAACCAACACAAAATTCTAGCATTATTCCTAGTCCATGGATGGTGAATGGGGGAATTTGCTCTTTCAAATGACGTACGTGAGAGGGCATACACAGAAGCTGTCAAAAGACAGGTAAAAGATGAGAAGGAGTGTTTTTTTCCTTGCTAATGAAAAACATGCATTGGCACAGGCAGATAAGATGATCACATAAATTTCTTTGGAGAGAGATTAGAATGATTCATGAAGTCCATCAGGGACTGCTGAAAAATAAAGATGCGATGCAGGTTTCAGCTGAGGAGAGCCCTAAGTTTTAGACTGCTAGAAGCTGGACTTGTCGCTCTGCTTGCTTGATACACAAGCTTTTTTTGGTAAGCATTTACTGCTGGTCACTGCTGACGTTGAGATAGATGGATGCTATGTCTAACAGTGTGTGACTTGTTTTATATTTTTCTTCTTGAAATTAGAAAGTATTTATTTGTAGCTTCTATCTGTACATTGAGAAGTGGCCTTGAAAATGAGAAAGGAAATGAGTTTTGCTTTGCTTTGTGGTCTTTGAAAGATTTTACCTCTAGGTGGCAGCAAAGTTTGTAGGTATGTGATGCATCATTATTTTACTGTAGCTGAACTGAAACTTGATTAAATGCTGAATTAAAAAAGGATGTGCATTTGACAAATAATTTTATCACTCAGGTTGTTATTATGAAAGGGAAAAAACACAATTTTTTTTCCACATGTAAATGAATTATACCAATGTTAAGTGTCTATGTTAGGATAACTAAACATGCACTTCTGCAATTGGACTGTATTTGACTGTATCACAAACTTGATAAATCACAGTGATTTCTGTTATAGGCAGGGATTTAACAAACTATTCACCTAGCTCTCTCCCTCCTCTTTCATCTCTTAAAAAAGATATTGGTGGTCTTTTCAGTTTGATATTTAGCTCTTATCTGTTTATGGGTAGTCTGTGTGCACACCAAAAATGTCCTCAAATCTTTTCAACCCTTATTACCAATTCATTTCTTCCATCAAAAGGAATGGTTTTCTGTCTATCCAATTCTTCATTGCTACCCACTTGTTTCCTGAATTTGCCAGCTTCATGTTTGTGATTGCTGTTAAGTTATAGCTCCTTGAGTTCTCATTTGTGAAGCAGTTCTTATATTTGCTGTCTTTCTAAGTGATGGAAGAAGGAATATGACATTTATCCTTCAAAAACCAGGCTGAACTGCCTTTTATATTGCCTTTTCCATTTCCATCAGTGCTCTCAAGACATTCCTAGAAATTAAATGTTTCTCAGGAGCTACCTAATGAGATTTTAGCAGTTGTGTGGTTTTCCTTTATTTCAATGTCTGTAAATGCACTGATGCAAATGCGGGCAAATAGTTACAACAACAGTAAAGATATAAAACTAGTCATGCTTTTGAAATGAGCCAGCAATGGAGCATGTCTATCTGCAAAAGTAACATAATTATATTAATTTTAGGTGTTGGATGCAAAAAGTATCAAACAAGTAGTTAAAGCAATGATCTAAGGTATGAGAAAACTGCTGGGCACAGAGGCAGCTGATCAGTACCAGGACTTCTGCCACAATGCAGTGCTGGTTTTCTGGGGAGAGGGCTAAGGCAGGCGTGTGTGCAGGTGTCAGGGAGGGCAAATACACCTGTTTATGTGCTGCTCAAGTAGTTTTGCCTTTGGTCCTAATCTCTTTTCGCTCTGGAAGTGCGGTGCACGCGTCGCTTGTTGTTCAAACTGTATTCATTTGAATAGAAGAGTGTGCGTCGCACTTGTGCTGTAGGTTTCTAGTGTCATTGTAGAACTTTATCTAGGAGAAATAACTTCAGATCCGGTTCTCTCTCACTCCTTAATCTTTTTAGTTTAAGGAATTTGAGCAGTAAAAAGAATCATTTGCAGCTTCAATGAAAGCGGCCAGGGGATGGTGCTAAAGCCCTTACAAAGAAACCAGATGTCTGCACATGCAAGAGCATGCTGCTTGCCAGGCTGCAGCTTTTTCCTGGATGACTGAATGCAGTCAGAACATAAGCCAGGTCTGCAAGTGAGGATGCATTAAGATTGAGTGGCAAAACTAAATATTCCCTCTGGTGTCCATGCAAGATGTTTTAGGCTGAAATTTTCAGTTGGGCCTCTTGAGCTGTGCAGGGCATTTGAGTATTTCTTTTTCTTTTACTATGTCCTGGCATCCATCGTCTAGGGATCCAGTGGGAAATTTCTCAGTTGCTCTGTATTTCCTTTTGTGCAACTTGTCTATGTGCATGACTATATTCAAATGTGTTGGAAGGAGCAGGATTAGTAGTCCTTATTAATATCGGTAAGACCTCAGCCAGAGTCTGAGTCAGTCGCTGTCTGGCTTGGGGCATTGCATTTTCAGAAACATACACACCATTCTAAGTAGCTGTGCAGTGGGGAAATAATTACTGATCTGTATAGCTGTAGTACTTGAGCTATTAGGCAGGAAAGCGATTGGGTTTGTTTAACCTGGAGAAAACAGAAGTGAAGAAAGATATGTTAATTGTTTTCTAATATGTGAACGGCTGCTGCTGGGAATGTAGTTCTCCAATTCCAGTGGGAGGATTGGTAACAAAAACTGGATATCAATTTCAGCAAAGGGAATTCAGCTTACAAATTAGCAGGAGTTTTAGTGGCAAGAAAGCTTCAGTCCTGTTACAGATTCCTGAGGTAACTGAGAAATTATCATTGCAGGGGTTTTAGAACAGGAGGAGCCAGGCATTTGGAAGGGTTTAGGTCAAAGTGTAACAGGAAAAGAGGCAGAAAAATGTCCCAAGGTCCTTTCTGTGCTCAGTTTTCTGATTTCTACTGTTTGCTGATGGTAGGCCTATTACAGTACCTGTGATTTCAATAACATGAAGTATTTGACAGAAACTCTTATATTAAAATTAGAAATAACATACATGATGAACTGTACTCGTGTGCCACCATGGCGTTGTTTGCTGAACGCCCAAGCTTACATCTACTTTCTGACAATGGGGAAAAGAAAAAGTGTTTGACAGAGTCGGGGACAAAATTTGAATTCCTAATTACCAAAGTTCTGCCATGTGCCTCGTTCTTTTGGGACATCTTCACTGGGAAATGTGATAATCTTGAAATGTAAGGTAGTTAAAGGCTCATTTTTTTAATAGACAGGTAGCAAGACACAGGGAAAGGTGAGTTTGTGTTGAGGGTCATTTCTCCTAGGGGAAGGACTGGCCTGGGCCCACAAGGCAGTGCAACCTGCCCTTTACTTACTGAGATGGAATGCCTCTTGAATGAGAAGGGCGCTCAGGTGCCCTACTGGGACACTGACCATCCCCGAGAAGAAAGAGTGCGTCCTTTTTGGGCTACAGGGCACCATGCAATATTAATTCTGTCCAGGTGAGGGCAGTGCTGACACTTCAGAGCTAGTGCTTGAAAGGTAGCGTAGTTCTACAATAAGTTATTTTACAAATGTTTATCAGATCATCAATTCACTTGGTTTAAATCACTGCTGCCATTCGTGGAGTAGAAGTCTTGACATTGAGTCTCATTCTGTATGGATAGTGGGCATCTAGGGAGGGATGTGTTTGTACCTTCGTAAATATCCACCTCTCAAAGGTGAATAGAATTGAACTCACGCCTATGGACACTTTTTAACATGAAAGCATTCTCAGTATTAAAATTGTCAGCTGAAAAGCTCTGAATATATCTTTTCCTCATATTACATATCGTTTTCAACATATTACATATGTTGAAGAAGTTTACAGAGGTAAGAGGTAACCAGGTCGTGTCCAAGAATACTCTGACTGGAGGAGGAAAAAGAACTTTATGATTTTTATCATCGGGGCCTTTTTTCTGTTTGGGAGCAGGCTGTTTTTCTCTGTGAAGGTCACATTTAACGATGTGTTAATAAGAGTTCCATTTTTACATACAGAG